TTAGAGTTTATTTAAATATAATATAGTTTTGAAATAATTTTTTTATAATTTTTTCTTGATCAACCTATTAATATTTTTCCTATTATTTTGTATTATTTGTTTAAGGTATTGAATTGTATATTATTAAAAAAAATAATTAAATATATTTACTTAGTTTAAAGTTTAATATATATGTTATAAGTAGTATATTTACCTATAAAATTAGTGATTAATATAAAATTGATATAATTTTTTATGTAAAAATTATGGATTAAACTCAAAACTTATGACTAATAATATGTTTAAATTGAAGAGAATGGATGGAAGGAGAAACAAATTTCTTTTATTTTATTTTTTTAATTTAATTAGTTATCTAAATGAAGGGAAGAAACAGGAGGTGAGGAAGGGGAAAATTTCGACCCCCCCTCCCCCCCGGCGGCGCTCACCCAAAGGTCTAGCTCCGTCCCTGTTCTTAGTACAAACTTTGTTGGTACTTGGTAGGTTGTTTGGGTGTTGATGATTCTGCCACCGGCATAAAAGAAGCAGCACAGTTTCTCAAATCAATGTAGGTTAGAATGGCTAGTTAAGCCAAATTTGACTTATAGATGGATTAATAAGACGTTTCTGCATGGGCTTAAGTTTAATAATTACTGCCTACCACCCTTATCACTAACATTATTAGATTAAAATCTACTTTTAATTTGTGTGGACAGGCAAAGCATGGTTGTTTTGAATGTTTCAACCACTCTCCCCGGATTTTGTTAGGTATGACTCTGTTTCGGCGCTAACAAAGGAGAATGTGCTAAAATCATGCGTGAAGGGAGAGCATCAAGTGGGTGCAAACATCCACTCAGAGTGGCAAAGTGTGCGCTTTCCTATTTTTAGAATTGAAATCAATTAGGGGTAGCTTTCTAGGGAAAATGTGTAAATAAGAATATTAATTTTTATTTTTTATTTAGAAATATTAATTTTATTAATTTTTAAATAAAGATATTAATTTTTAACTTTTTTTATTGAAAGATATTATAAAAATTATT